TTTATATATTGGTATAAGTGTTTTGAGGCATACCTACGGCTACGCCGTATTATTATTTGCGTAATCTTCACTAAATCCTTGGTTGTAAAAATAATTTAGAAACTGAAACTCTAGTTCAAAATCTTGCTAATAACGAGAGAAACTGGTTTAATGAAGACGATAGAGCACAAATCAAATGTAATTAATATCACAGAATAAATGTATTTAATACAATTGCGAACTAGGGTATCGAATTTCATTATCTTCAACTGGCGGCAAATTTCTAAACCCACCATTGCCAAAAATCAAATCTTTTCCTTCACTAGTTTCCCACAATATTAGTTTAGCTTAAAACACCCGAGTTCATTGAGTGTGTGAATATATAACAGTATTTTATAAAGTTCGGTGAAATACGATAAACAAAGACAAGCGATTAGAGAATTTAGTTCATTCTCTAATCGCTTGTCTTTGTTTATTATATATTATGTTTTTCTAATATGGCGACGAATCCGGAGAATAAAGGTAGGACTACTTGTATGAAAAGTTGATACTTTTCTTATATTTGCAGTGCCAAACCAAAAACATTAACTATACAATACATATATTTGTTTTCCCAGCGGACCGTGCAAGTTGCATCTGTAGCTGTATCCCAAAAGTACGCTGCCGCGGTATGTAGACCAGATCCGTTCTTTTGAGTTATTGTTATTCTCACTGAAAATTTATGAGGTTATGCAGTATTTACATTAAAAAAAACTATCATGATTTATAGTGCATATACTACTTAGGTACTTCCAGGTACGTTTACACTAGTGGCAATGTCATTAGTGTCAATAATTAAGTACAAATACGACCTAGAACTTTTGGCAAGCTTAAAAATCTTAGAAGATTGAGCTTGAACGGATATAAGCTTTCCCAAATTTTTGTAATCAGAATGTCGTTTTATATTAAGAAGTACGACAAAAAAAAAGACATTGACACGCAAAATAATAAATTAATTTGCAATTTAAGTTTGTTTCAAGTTATTTGCATTGGTTATTTTAATTTTAAATTGTAAACTACAACCAAAAATATTATATGTTTATTAGCTACTACGTAATAAAATAAAAAAAAAAATTAAATTCATCTATCAAAAGCCAAAGTAGAAATGAAATTGCAGAAGATGCTTGATGATGGCGTTAAAGTCTAATCACTCGAATATAACATAGTTAAAATCTTGAATGTTAGATGTGGCTGATGGGATCATTTTCAAACCGATAAGACACTTAAGGACTGCTAAGAAAACTATTTATTTGAACTTAAACATTTTGAACTTATTTTAGACCAAACGTAATGATTATGAAATTTATGTAAAATACAAGAGTTATGTTAGATAACTAGACATGTTACTTGTCTAAGAGATTTTTACGGAATCAATCAAATATGACACAATTCAGTCTGAACAAATAAAACTAACATTCTAAATTTAATTTAAAGTAATTCAAACATAATACATAAACCAAGAAGATCAGAGTTGATATCAAAAGAGTATGTATAATCTGAGATTACCAATCAACAAAAAGAAATAACTCACATGTACAATATATATACTTACAGATATATTTAAAAGGTTTGTTTAATTTGCTAAGTCTACCAAGGGTTTTTTCAGTAATAATAGTTATCCATTGTGGCGCACGCGAGTGACTATATGCGTTGCCCCCTAAGCAAAATTCTATATTATCTCTTACAATTTTTTGTACTTCTTCCACATTAAAAACAGTATTCTGTGGTTAAGAAAAAAATATTTATCCAAGGCAAAATGTAAATAATTTCAATTGACAACCTGACAGTAGGCCGCTAAAACTTTATTTATATAAAACAATAGAATTACCTCGTCGTCGTCCACATTAGCCATAATAACTATTTTATAGTGGAGTTAAATTATTATAATTCCTTCGAGTATTAAATAAATCGTTTTAAAACACGATTATTACAATATTACATGCAAAATTTATATGCAATCAAATTTATTTGTGACGTATATAAGTTGAACTTTTTAAGAAGTAATGTCACGCCAAATAGTATCTATAGCTCATTTTGTTGTTTAATTTTGAAAGTTCCCTCGGGAGCTACATAGTACATAGATAAATGGTTGATTGCTTCCCTACCGAAATCAATATATCCACATAAAAAGTAGTAAACTAAAATAACAGCCTATATGTGTCCCACTGCTGGACAAAGGCCTCCTCTATACAGACGGTATTAGTGAATTAGTCTATAGTACTCCACGCGGCCTTCACATAATTTTCTGGGAAATATGTGTTTGTTTTTATTTCGAAAATATGTAGTTTTCCTCACGGTGTTATCCTTCACCACTGAGCGCGTGATAAATCAGCAATTAAAATTAACAATTTCATTGGCGCCAGCACTGGGGATAGAGCTCAGGTGGCTGGAGTATATTGAAATAAAAGAGAGCACCCGGACAATGAGCTATCACGGCCTCACTATACCCACATATAGTGAAAGTAACATGTATACAACACCGCTAATTAACGCACTTAAGATGTAACATTAAAATTTATACAAGAAAGGACGAACAGTTTTTTGCCACTCCGTGAATGAAACTCATGTCGTATGGATTCGCTCGACATGAGTTTAAGAGCTGAAAGAACCACTTAGCTAAATGTACATTCAAGGCTGCCGTTCTAAAAACGTTTAAGACAAACTCGTTGACGAATTAACGTGTTACATAATTTAATTCTCCCGCCATCACTTGAAAACCTTACCGCAAGGACACACATAGAGGGCCGAACGGGTTAAAGTATTGTATTGTATTGTACTAACTGATTGATAAGTGAATGCTTTCAGTCCCGAGACTATTAAAGCTTCATCGAAAGCAAAACCAGGGTTTCATGCCCTCCACAGTGGGTAGGGCCGCGCATGTGCTTATGCGTGCGTTAGGTAAGGAGTTTCGCCTACGGGCTATCGAGGGTCGTTGCGGACCGTGACCCCGATAGCTGTTATCTGTGCTTGGTAAGTCGGTGGCTGGGTGCGGTGAGAACCGTCTTGGAATGCGCGTGTGCCTAGTGTACGCGTTATGTTGGTTTCGCCGTGCTCGAAGGCTAGGAAGCTCGAACTATGGTGTTTGCTCTTGCACTAACTGTGTGTGTAGTGTTATCTGACGGGACTCCCGACGGTGAGTCCGACTTACCAGGTCGAGGAAGAGGACCTAATTCCCTTCCTCGACCGGGTCATTGAGGATGTTGCGCGAACGACGCTTATTAACGCTCGCTTTAGTGTCGTGTTGGTAATTTGCTGTGCTTACCACAAGAGATTTGGGATGATATTTGACTCTATCGAAGAAACGTTTGGTTAGGTCTTTGAAATGTTCGCGAATCGTCGGGAGTCTGCAATCAATGTGCAGGTCTACGTTGCATTAATACCAATGCGCACCTGTTGCGCGGCGGATGAACTTGTTTTGAACGATTTGCAACTTGTGCGAGCGAGTAGGGCTTGTGTGGGCAAAGTTCATGCATTGGTTGGACATAACAGGTCGTACACAGGTCTTATATATGATAATTTGTGCTGTAAATTCTGATCATTAAGAGGATGATTCTGATCAATAAGGAAGATCATTCTCATCAATTCAGAGAGTTTAACGATCCTTTTGGCAACTCAAATAACATTTGAAAATCCATTTGAGAGCTGGTTACTTGACTTCTACGGTGATCGGAGTTTCAGAAACCAGGCGTTAGCGTGGCACAAATCACGTTTTCATCGACAAATGCAATGATTCTCACTTTCTCAGCCTAGACAAGATATCGGCATTTAGTCTTTTTGAATCGGTTTCACGATTCGAACTGGTGGATTGAATCCGTTTCACGAATCGATTGGGTATTATTATATATTAGCAAGTCTGAACATTGCCGTTCGTTCATTTTGGTAGTTTAGTTAGGTAATTTCTAACGTTCGTAAAAGAAAGAATTTAATGAGTTCATTATTTTCATAATTGTTGTGTATCGGAAATAAAATTTATGAAATGAATTGTTTTCGTAAAGAGATTGTTTTGAGGATTTTCTTGTGACTAAATCCTTACTTCTATCATATTTCTTTTCTGGATAGGTTCCACAATCGATTGCGGTCCAAGCTGAGCGTGCAATCCCTCTCGCTATCCATTAATAGGTATAAAAGTAAAGTAAAGTAACAGCCTATACATGTCCCACTGCTGGGCAAAGGCCTCCTCTATAGAGAGGGTATCAGGGCATAGTCCACCACGCGGCCCCACTGCGGGTTGGCGGACTTCACATATCTTCGAAATATATTTTTTTTTGTTATTATTTCGAAAATATGCAGGTTTCCTCACGATGTTTTTTCCTTCACCGCGGAGCACGTGATAAGTCAGCACTTAAAGTTAAAAACTTCATAGGTGCCGGCACCGGGGATCGAACTCAGGTTGCTCGAGTATATTGAAATAAAGGCGAGCGCCCGGACACTGAGCTATCACGGCTCTACAGTTACAGCTTTACAGTTACAGGCTACAGCTCTAGGTATACCGTATATATTTCCTTAACAAAGTTGTTGGTCTCTTGAATCCGCGGGAGCTGCTTGCGGACTTTTTTCGAAGAAACTGTCAAACCGAATAGCCATAGTGAACTAGGCTACATCTTTCGTACGACTAGCAAACTTTTTTATTTTATTTATTATAAATTGGGTTATCCCTGGAATGTTTTTTTAGGAACATAATTAGATTTTTATTGTTTGTTTTGCTTTGTATAATTTACCAATTTGATTGTATTTTTTTCTTTATCTAGGAAACCGTTAACCGTTATGATTTAATGATAATTTCTTCCGAAATTTCTACTTGATTTCCGAACGAATTTCCTTATAACCCACTTCGATCTTATTTTCTATTGTGGTTTTGGAATGTTTGTTTCGTGTTTTAGTTTATTTTGTGTTATAAAAAAATCACAAACGGGGTGAATAACTCTTAGAATGGTGTCTTAAGTATAATGTTTGTGTTCAGTTGAGTGGATTGTCTGGAATTAATGGAGCTGAAGGTCTGGGTCGAAGGAATACAAAGAATTGTTTGTGGGGTGACGGAGACTACTACATGCCAAGTGAGAAGTTCTGATCTTTACTCATCAAACATAGGCTTTAATCCTTATTTATATTATTAAAAATGATTTGTCTAGAATATTGATTTAAATCGAGTGCAGTTAATGTGTTTGACGTGTTGTTGTTTTTTTCGTTAATTTTGCATAATAATTTTAACTCTGGGTATTATTTAGTGGCTTTTTTACAGTTTATTATTAATCAGTGGTGACATTTATAGCATAAATAATATTTTTAATTTAGGATGTAGTCTTCGCACTTGCTCATGCCACCGGAAAAGTGGGCCGATTTACTTTGATTGAAAGATGGAGAAATAATGAACGACTTTTGGCTCCTCAAGAATATCCATTGAAGGTAAATTAGAAAGTAAATGTAATTATAACGCTATAACTAACTGAGATTATTTAGTAAAAATGAAAATGATTATTTAATCAATTAAATGATAAATAGGCTTAACCTAAAGGCCTTGAATTGTGTTAAATTGATTTTGTATCTTTTTATATATTTTCATGCAACATATTTTTTCAGATTTTAATGAAATGGGGTGAATATTCAAATGATATACAGTTTATTTTGAGAAGATCAGAATCAAGCAATAACCAAAAACCATCACAACCTATTAATAATTCTCGATCTCCTACTGGAAATGGGTTTGTTATGTTCTTAATAAAAGATTTTTATATAATGTTTCTTCAACAAATCCAAAAATTTTAAATGTTTTTCACATATAACAATATAAAGATTAGTAAAAACATTGCTTATTCCAAAAAATATAATAGCAATTTACAAAAAAACAATTAAGTAATCAATTAAATACAAAGATAATGTTTATTTTTATTTCTATTAGGAGTCATAACAACCAAAACTCTAGTGTACCCGACAGTCAAAACTCACCAAATAGAGCAAATGCAACACCAACTTTTAATAATAATGTGAATAACACATCCCCTGGGAATCCTGTAGGAGTGGTGAAGGGAGTGCAACAAGCCAAATCACCTGAATCCAATAGTCCTGTGTTAAAAGATGTCCCACCTTACAGGTAAAATCATAAGTGTTGGTTAAATATTCCTTGTTCTTAAAAGAAATTCTTATAAAGATTATTAAATCTTAAAGCTCTTTCAGACCTGCTTTATCATCATTCTCTAATAAGATAAACACCAAATTATTAATTCATTTAATGTGAAGTCTAATTAAGAATAGTCAATTATGCACTGACTGTGTTGTAATAGTTAAATAACCTGACGAAAAATGTTGGTGTCTAAATTTGATATCATTTTGATGTCAAAATAATAATTAATGTTACTAATAATAATAAGCCATCCCACTTTGTCGAATTGGTAAACATATCTTTTGAAGGAGCTTGAATTTAATTATTAGATGGACAATTTGTCAAATTTATATTACTTATAGTTTCATATTTATTCATAACAGCTTGTGCTTCATGCACCTAATTTATAAATAATCATATAAAAAATTATGTCAAAGAAAATGAAATAAGTATCAGCAGCTTTAAATGTAGTGAAAAGCAATTCATTTCACATCTGCATTTCAAGTTATTAAAATATTAAATATATTTAGTTTTTGCACATCAATAGGTTTTTATTTAGTGGCTCTACATCTTTGGCTGATAACATCCAAAAAACATGTTTTTATTGTACATAACATGTATAATTTGTTAAATGAGGATGTGCAATACTTAATATTAAATCAATTTTATTGTCATACTAAACAAATGGTTAAGCGAATCTATAAGGACCTTTTAACATACTAATTGTAATCTGCTTGTTTTCTTGAATGCAATATAATTTTTTTTACAACAAAAAAGACATGTAAATGAATGATATATTTATTAATTTTACCTCTGGTAAATTCTTTTAATCACACTACATGAGATTGTAGCCTTTTATTTCAACTGTTTCCATAAACTACACTTATTTTAAAACAATGTTATTTTTTGTTTCTTCATTTTTATTCTTGATTTTACTATAAAAATTCTAATGTAGTATGTATTTAATGAATAGCTTTGTTTAATCAAATACTTAAGTTTAATAATTGGTTCATGAATTCTTGCCGTATTTGAGCCAGATATATGTTATACAAATTAAACATGTCACATATGGTTCAAATTTAGCTTGCTGAAATATGCATGCCATAATTGCTAATTTTATCTCCTCTTCCTATTGTTACATTCATTGCAAATAACAATAGAAAATATATTACACTAATTTTATTCAAATAACAGAGATCCACCTCCGCCATATCGCTCACCGCCACCGCCGACACAAGCTTTACGGAAGTCTCCTAGTCGTACTCGGGTTGGTAGGCCGTCACACATGTCACCGGTCAATTTACCGGAAGAGAACCCAGACTCCAAGAGTCCTGAGGCTGTTAGTTACAATAGTCAATATCGTGAACTAGTTTCCCTCGTGAATTATCAGAGGGAGAAGTTGTCCAGTCAGCAAGTTGATCTTATCAAGGTTTGTGTTTATCCATTTTAAGAAATGATTTGATTATTGAATCATGCCAACTTATTGTGCACACAAAGGCTTTATTTGTTCAAAAATGGAAGCAATTAAACACATACACCTTCAGAGTTGTGCAAGTCAAATTATATGTCACAAATTTTCTGTAATATAAGAATGAGAAATATTACTTACCCATCTTGTTCATGTCTGTTGGTTTAATTACTGTAAATAAAATAATATTACGATTTTTACGGTGATTCATAATATTGTTTCTTATATGACAGATACCAACTTTGTCATGCAACCAATAATGTGATAAGTTGAGCTCTAGAGAATTTTTTATATTAAAATCATTTATATACACACTCACTCTAAAGTGTTTAAATCAGCACCTCTAATTGAAATTAACTTTTGTTACCTTTTTAGTATGATGCTGAAATTGGCTATTGGGAGAATAAAGGCCGTGAACAAGAGAGACAAGTTGAGTTTGCTTCAGCAACAGATTAGTTCTGCTGACAATCAGTTAAGGATAAGCACAGAACAAGTATGAAGTAATTTTTTCATAGTTTTAATATTAAGACAAGCTAAATTATGTTTAAATAAAAAACTTAAAAGAACTAGATGTTAATATCATTCTCAGGTTCAAGCACTAAACTATGTGGAGGAAGAAAGTGAGATAGTAAAACAAAATGAAAAGACAATAAAGTCAGAGATAGTGCTAGTTCGGTCTAAATTGGCTAACTGTGAAACTGAATTACTACAATGTAAGAATAAAATACGTAAAGTAATGGAGGACATACACAATGAGCAGAGACTTATTAATAGTTGCCAACAAGAGAACAGGTTTGTAAAATAATTTAATTTAAAAAAAAAATAAGCCAGAGTGTTCATACACATACAGAAATCCCATTAGACTCAGAATATAGCTTTAAAAAATTTTTTTGATAATATATCAAAAAAAAATAGTAGTAAAATGTACCAGTTTTTGCCCATTTAAAAAATTATAAAATCTGTTTAAATATAATATTATTTACATATTGCTCTCATATTCTCATGAAAAATATTCCGTTAAAATGGTAAATTTTAATAAATAAAGTGAATTTTTTGAATACATACATTTCAGGCAAGCTTTGGAGCGATCAATGTTGGCGGAAATGGAAAATCTCCAAGCTCAAATACAGCAAGCAAAGCATGCCACCGAAATAAACCACCTTACTGCTGAAAATCTAAAGAGGGAGGTAAGTCGCCTTTGAACATGATTCTTTTTTTTAGTACACAATGTTTTGCCGTTCAACATTTTAATTAGATTATGATTTGACTTCTTTAACTGAAATATGTAAGAGGTGTAGGTCAATCTTATGCTGAAAATAAATAACTAGCAATATCCAATGAACAGAAGTTACACTAATTTTCCAATAATATATATTTATATACAATTAATGGTGATAGCTCAAGGTCTGGTGCTAGCTTTTAATTAAAAAATGAACAACCTTCAAATCTTTGTTTCTGCACAAATAAAATTGTTAATTTTAAGTCTGACTTATCAGGTGCTCAGCGGTGAGGGTAAACACCTACGTATTTTGAAACAATAACAAAAAATTAACTTTAATAATTTTATATAGAGTGCTACTTTCCTTATTTTAAAAATTTTAAAAAAAGTTTACTTTATTTACAGTATTACTTTATAAACAATAAAAAATTACTTGTACGCTTTATAGTGTATTTGAATAAATATTTTTTTACAATAGTAAATATTATGTGCTTTTAATTATTCATATTTTAGGTGGGAGTTTTAGAAAACGCGATTATGGAAAAGAAACGACAAGTTGAACGTTTAGTGCAAGAGATGAAAGAAGCTAATCTTCAGAGTTTAACTGGAAGTGTAGATGAATTAAGACATCCGCTTGATGGTATGTCCATTAAACCTGTACTCAATTAATATACCATGTCAATAACCTTGTCAGTCGAAGATTAAAAGAATAGAAATTATGTATTGTTTCTGTAACATGTATTTAAATTGTACTTAAAGTATTGAAGTGATTTTCGTAAATAAAATATTTACTATTTTCTATCTCTCTTGACCTTTTTGTTTCAGGTTTATGTAAAGCTGGTAGTGCCCGTAGAATAATTGGTTCTCCAAGACAATTGGAAAATGCCGCCCCCACCAATAAGAACCCACATGGAGTATGGGTTTAAAACAAATTTTATCTTATAAAATTAAATATTACAAATTAATTTCATGCTCTATTTTGTATAAAATCTTACTGACTTATCATTTAATTTTCAGATTATTGAAAAGTAATATATGATGTATTATGGTAGAGTTATGTACAAATTATTTTATCATAATAATTTTTTGTGTAAAAGCACAAATTTAGTAGTTTGAAATGAAATATAATTAATTCATTAGTTACTGCCATATGTTTTAGTGTGAACTACCAATGTCTTTTTTTTTTGGGCTCTCTTTCATCTCTCATTTGTTTAGTCTTATTTAACAGGTATGTGTTCAAATTAGTGTCATATATATGTGTTGTCACAAATATGATATTCAAAAATGGAGTGCATTTATTTTTTTGTACTTAATGGGTTATAAGTTTGCTTTATTAACTATATTATTATTAAATCTTGCCTATTTTGTGTCCATAAATTTTGTTTTTTGCAAAGAGATTGTTTAATTAAACTGCTCTGCAACACAAATTCTTGACAATCCTTACAGTTAAAAATTGTCATTTTTGTCTTAACAGCTCTTGTTATCTTTGTGTTTGACTAAAAATGGAAAGTGGCACTTCATCCATTCAATCAAAAAGTGGTAGTTTAAGTATAAAAGAAGATACTAGTAAATTTCAATTTGAAAAAATAAAAACTTACATTTAAATGGACACTTATTTTACGAGTTTACAAATAGAAATAATTGTGTATTTATAATAATAAATCTAGTCGAAAATATAAGCCATTGCAATACAATATTCAATGTTATAATCTCATTTTTAGAAACTTCATATTAATATGGCCTAACATTTATTTTTTAATGTAAAAATCCATTATTGTATGGATTAATTTTAAAGCAAACATTATTTATAAATGTATTTCATATTATTACCTTGCATGGTTACTATAATTAGATAATTTGTGTATACATATATAAATATATATTAATTAAAAGATTAGAAATAAGTGATGAGTTTCAATTTGTCTAGTTAAATTTTGATATATCTAATTTGTTTACATTTTAATGAGAACAAATAAATATAACATTTTTTTTTATTTTGAAAGGTTCATTCCAATTTCCTTGATTTTCCTAGGTGTCTGTACTAAATAATAAACAAAGATATTTTTAATCTTATATTGAAATTAACGAACTTAAATCTGATGGTATTGGCACCATACAAACCATTTTTTGCACAAGTATCATAAATGTGTTATGAAAACGCTGTACTTTAATAACTTTTTAAAATATCCATAGCCTTTCTCATAAGAAACATATTTACAATAATCCTCTTTTAAAGAAGGCTTAATAATAAAATAGTTGCTAAATAATTTTACTAATCTTATGAATAATAATTATTAGATACAGTATATTATATATTTGCAAATTTTGTTTGAAGACATCAAAGAATTCAAACAATACTAGAAAATAAAGTATTAGTAGTATTTTAGTAACAATGTCAATTTTAGTATGAAAACAGTACACAAGGATGTTATTTTAGTATGACTATCATCACCTTATCAAAGAACGGATTCCAATTTGTATATTATGGACATTCATTTCATAATAAATTATTTCCAAATTTATAATGTAATCAGACCAGATATTTTGATAAAATTTGTTATAGTATGAGGTGAAACATATAAATTTTTATAAAAGTTAATTTTATCAAAAAATAATAGTTGGCAGAAAAAAAAAATCTGAATCTTTACATACAAACATAAATCTTTCTTAAGGCAATGTTACAATATACATTGATAATTTATTAAAATCAGGGTTTTTTTTAAATAAATTATACTGCCTTTATTTAAAGTATGTACCGCATATTTTATTAATAAAATCACTTCTTTTGTCCATGTGATACCACTTCTAGTAATCACTATGCTTTTTCTTCCTTTTCTCTATTATACCGCTCTAGCTCCTTCAGAAATTGTCCCTTGGGTTTCATCACATTAGGTCTATCGCCACGACATTTGGGGCAAAACCATTTGCCTTTTGGTTTTGTTGTGAGTGACACACATGAGAAATGGAACCATTCAATAGGGCACAGATCATTGTCACACAATATCATTTCTCCAAATGAAATTTGATCACAAAGACAGTATCTGGGTTCGTCAGGATCAATTGCATCATTCTCTTCTGGAGGAGTTTCAGAACGTTGAGCCGCCTGCCTGGCTTTACGCTTTTTCTTTTTACCAATACCTAAAAAAATATTCATTATACCTGTATCTTTAATTTATATTATTCTGTTATATATATACCCTAGTGGACCAAACAGACATCCTGCACACACAACGTAAATTCAACAACCAAGAAATAAAATTAAATAACTGTAGTGGACTGAATTGTGAATCTAAACCATTCTTGAAGAAACACAAAAAAAAATTCATTAAAATCAGTCCAGCTGTTTAGAAGTTCAGTGACATACACACATACAGTAGAATTATATATATATATATATATATATATAAAGATTTATATTTCGCAGGAAATTATAATTACAATTAAATTATTTAAATTACACATTAGCTTTTGGATTTATTAAAGTTAGTGAATATGAATTAAAATTTTTATGATATTTTATAACTACCTTTCTTATGTGTAGTATTATGCGCATGCCGCTCACTATCTCTTTCACTAGAGTCCGCACCATCTGTTGCAGCCCCTGCGGTTGTACGAGAGCGTCTTGCTCGTTTTGACCATCTCTCACCTGTAATACACATGTTTTTATTTCTATAGCAATGCTTTGCAATAAGTAATGATATTCAGAAAATAATGCACAATAAGCAATTTTATAAAAACTATGTAGTTCATCAATATACCTCCACTTTTATCCCTTTCCTTTTCTTTCTCCTTATCATTGTTTCTCTCTGGAGGAGGTGGTGGTGGGGCATATTGTTGAGGGGTTTGAGGTGTATTGCTTTCTTTATCACCAGTCCGTAAAGATTCGGATACTGGTAGGGGTTCTTCTTTTGCAGTTCCATTTGTATTTACTTCAAGGCAAGACACTGAAATGATTTAAAAAAAAATATAGTGTCCATTGTAATAATATTCCGATCTCCATTATTACTTTTATAAAAAAAGATCTTGTTGTGGAGGTAATGGAAGTTTAATTTGTGTCCATTTATCTATACTTACTTAAATTTTTATGATCTGCATCAAGTGATCTTTGCTTGTTGTCAATGAGATCCTGCAAAATCTGTACAACTTGCAACTTTTCATCTCCTATTTCTTGAGCAGCAACTAATGCAGCTTGTAGCCGTAAAGCAGCGCGAGTGCGTCGCCTTTCTTCTGTATTGGGTCCAATGCATACACCTAAATGTGTTTCGGCATCCCGAAGACATTCTAAATAAGAAACAAAAATTTTAATTCGGAATACTATTTATAATAATGAAGTAAAAGTAAACTATTTATTATAAATTATTTCACATTTATAATATATATTTTAAAAAAGATGACATAAGTCACTTGAAACAACTATTGCAAATTGTAACATATGAAAGTCGAATCCAAAACGTGTTGGTTGCCGAGTTATTTTGGAATCTTTTATCCCCAAAGTGGCGTGTATACTGCATATGCATATACAACACATCGGAAACGAAAACGTCAACATAACAAAAATAATGATCAAACTTGAATCATATGGAATAGTAAACACGATAAAGTTTATTATAAATAAATAATACTCCTAAAACACAAACAAAAACGTAGTAAATACCTCTATAAGTTACATCAAGCTCTCGCATACGCGATAAATGTCGTTGCAAATCATTAGGAAGATTTTCGACACAATCTAAGTAATTCTCAACGTAGGTAGCCGATAAGGCTGCTTCTGAAAACGTTGAATTCAACATCGTTAAATATTCAATATAGTTTTCATTATTATTACATAGAGAATGAAAAATTAAACACTTTCAAAGCTAATAACAAGTTCATGTACTCAAGTCAACAGCCGTCACAAGCTTGATACCTTGATTTGATAGTTCGGAAACCAGATTTACGTTTTACATTGTTTTAAAAAAGTAAAATAATTGTATGTCATAGATAACATAGTAAAAAACATTAATCATTGAAATAGTACTGGGGTGAAATGTATTTGGATATATTATTGAACATTTATCATCATCATCGTTATTAATATAATAAATCTTAATTTATAAATATTTATCTTTTAGATAAAGAAGTATTATTGTAAATCATAGTTTTTGCGGTAACTCATAATTATCACTCATTTGTGGAATAAAATTTCTCGTCTAATTGAAATTATATAGCTGTGTTGTATGTATGGTTGTAATCAAATAAATAATACACTTGTCAGCATAAAAGAAAACTGACGTGGTCTAAATATTCGTGTAAAAAATTTGTTGGGCTTTTACTTTTTTCTTAGAGGATTAAAGATTAAGGTTTTAGCTTTATAACGAGATGATATCCATATTAAAAATTTCTTTTCATTATAAATAAAAAAATGCATACAAAATTCGTCGTAAAAATAAGGAAAACAAGGAACGAAAAAAGTATGTCTTAACTAGGGTTGCCATTATTCTTGAAGAAAAGATAATATTATGTTAGATAATCTAAATGATAAAAATATAGTAGTTTTAGGAAATTTAGGGAAAAATATATATTATTATATTATTCATAAATTTTCACACAACGTTCTCTAGTCCCAAACTAAGCAATGCTTGTACTATGGGTACTAGATAACTGATAAACATAATTTTCTTTTGTAAATAAATACATATTATACATATATAAACACCCAGACACTAGAAAAAGACTATGTTCATCACACAATATTTTTCCAGTAGTGGGGATCGAACCCACACCCTCTGACGCAGGAGGCAGGTACACTACCCACCACGCCATTCAGGTCGTCAATTAATTTAATACAATACAATACACGTTTATTTCTTATTTTTTTTTATTAACTCCTATACTTTTGTAACCTTTTTCATTTATTTGCTTTTTCCTTGAGATGTGTAACAGAATCATCGACGCTTACCATATTGTTATTTTAAGTACAAAGTAAGCAATCTAAAACCTCGAAAATCAGGCGAAACTCACCGAAAATTTATTATTACTTCCTTGGACAACTGACGTTTATGACAAACAAAACAAATGATCAACTTCATTAACTTCGTTCCGAATTTTGATATTCCTCACACCGTGCTGTAGATATGTTCCAGTTTACAGTTGATATAAAAAAGTGCGATAATTGAATTAGCAATGAAAATGTAGTAGTTACGTTTTGTACTCTATGATTTTTCGTTCGTGTCGAATATAGTACGATACTATATATTACCGTATGTGTGGTAACCCAACCCTAGATAGAACGCATGGACGAAGTTATAACTTAAAACAAACAAATTTAAATTTTTCTTATTCAAATATCTTTATTCATTAAAGAAGTATTACACTTACCTACTTATTGATTGTCAAAAACTCTACTAAGGGTTCGGAAAGACTCGGAAGGACTCTAAGGAAAGACATTAAATGCAATTTGATAATGGTTTATTTAAATAACCACAAATGAATTACCACATGAAGATTGGTTGCTTTGCAACCAACTTCATCATGTCGCTTTTTGTGCGAGCGTGCATTCGAAAAAAATGTACTCTCATATTTTTTACAAAACGTGCCAAAAGAAGTATAACTTTAAAAAACAATAAACACTTACGGTTGGTTTCAACATTCGATCTATCTGTAGATTTTGTTACGGGAGATAAAATTTTGACGTAAGTATTATGGAGCTAATGATACCTATCGCTAGTAACCAAATCTGCAGAAAGATAGAATATTGAAACTGGTCGTTAATCAGTTTTTTGTAGACCGTATGTGGACGGATTTGTCATGCATTAGCATGCATAAGTTTTCATCAATAAAGCCTACATAACCAATGATAAGATCCTTAGTATATCTTCAACTAGCGACCCGCCCCGGCTTCGCACGGCTGCAATGAATTATACATATAAACCTTTCTCTTGAATCACATTATGTAATAAAAATAAAAAGCTTAATCAAGATCCGTTGGGTAGTTTTAAAGATCTAAGCATACATAGGGACAGACAGATAGCGGGACGACTTTGTTTTTAACTGACTTAAAAAAAGAAGGTTTCTCAATTCGACCGTATATATATATATATATATATATATATATATATATATATATATATATATATATATATATATATATACAGCGTGTCGTTACCATCGCGACAATAAATGAACACACTTCTAACGCTACTTGTCAATAATCAGAAAAAAATATTAACGTTAAACAAAATCCATAATTAAAAAAAAATATTTTTCAAACTAATTAAATAAAAAAGAAACAAAATTTGTAACATCCTATACAACTCGCGCCACAGAGAACTTCTAACAATATGTTTTGTCTCTTTTAAATTCATTCAATCCATTCATATGCTTTGTGACCTTTACAAATGAACTTTACGGTTACAGTTTTATACGTAAGGGTGTTCTAAAATTGTTTGATTTGGAAAATTTAATAACTCGGTAAATATTGATGTTTGAAGAATGTAAATGTTTAATACAATTTTAAAAAGTTATACTCTATATGTGTGTTCATTTATTGTCGCGATGGTAAAGACACGCTGTATAAGAATATTTTTCATTGATTAGGATGACACAGCAATCAAAACACAATTGAGTTTCTCTGTAATTAAAGATTTATTGTAAGATTTTGAAACTATAACAAATAATTATTAAAATAACAAAAGTAAAAGATTTTACTATTAAAACTTTACCTGTAATTAAAGAAACGACATTTAATGTTAATAATCACAATGTCGATTCCTAAATCACTATTTTACTTATTAATATCTTTGTAATAAGATTATTTTCATGAATTGTTTCATATGACAGCTTGATTCTTTTTCTGTTATAATCTGGCGTCAAACATAATTTTTAAAACAAATTTTATCAACGGCCGGTGCGCGAAAATATTCAAATTAAAGAAAATATTTAAATAAAAGAAAATAATATTTTTCTTTACATATATAAATATAGCCGTGAATTATACCGAGCCGTGATAGCCCAGTGTCCGGGCGCTCGCCTTTAATTCAATATACTCGAGCAACCTGAGTTCGATCCCCGGTGCCGGCACCAATGAAGTTTTTAACTTTAAGTGCTGACTTATCACGTGCTCCGCGGTGGTGAAGGAAAACATCGTGAGGAAACCTGCATATTTTCGAAATAATAAAAAAATATATATAAATATATTTCGAAAATATGGGAAGTCCGCCAATTCGCAGTGGGGCCGCGTGGTGGACTATGCCCTGAAACCCTCTGTATAGAGGAGGCCTTTGCCCTGCAGTGGGACATGTATAGGCTGTTACTTAACTTAACTTATATATATATATATATATATATATATGTGTGTGTGTGTGTTCGTCGTTTATGACCCAATTTTGATGATTTTTTTTTGTTGGAAAGGAGTTATCCCACGGATCTGATGATGCCATGCCAAAGAATTCGAGGGCAATCAGGCAATCAGCAATCAAATGCTATAGGTGTTGACAATTATTTTTTTAGTTTCCTCTTTGAAGTCGGTCGGATCTGTTCGCTGTCAAACCTCCAAATCGAGGCGGGCATTTCAATAGTTTTCGTAATGGTTTTGCCATCATTGTAATGCTTACACAATCAAAAAAATAATAATCATAAAACACAATCATATAATAATAAACAAATCAGAAGTCTCTATTGTAAATTTGTTGTCTTCTATCGCTGCCACGAAGACACACCCTACTTTCATCTGAGAAGAGAACAGAGCTCCAATGTTCGTCTATCTACTTAGGTGTTCTTTGGCGAAACATAGTCCGGCTGCTCGACGAGCCGAGGTTGGAGTCAGGTTAGCCACCTTTAGTCTGTCCCTGACTATCTAGCCGCTAATAGCTACTTCTCGCGTTTCTGATTGGACTTGAATGTTAGAGAGGCTCGGATTTTAAAGCCAAGTTAAAAATAAATGAGATATTTTTATAGTTAAAAATAAATGAGATACAACTCCTTATACTTTACACTCCATATTTCTAGATCGATCAATATGTTGCATTACCGAAACATTCTTCAACGAATTGTTGTTATTTAAGCATACTGGGTGATATTGATACCTGACCTACGGTGGGAAAGTTTTAACTGGTTTAGCTTTGTGATGCCATATAATGCACCCCACCGTAACTTGGATCAAACAAAACCTATTATGAAATAAATTATAGTCCTGATGACTCAGATGAAATAGTAATGCTGGTTCTTATGCACAAATCTAAACCAGATACTACGTATAAAGAATAAAAGATGACAAGATTCAAAGCCGCGGAAAGCTTTTAATGATTTTAATGACTTAATGCGTTCCATCTATCAATGGTTGAACATTCACCTATCGTCAAGTAGTATAATAATCAAATATAAACATAATTTTCTACAATTCTTGATATCATATGATAGAGGTCGGGACTCTAAATATAATGTGCACATTTTATGGAATAGGAAGTGCAATACTCATCCCATTCAGCCTGATGAAGGCCCTCTTAAAGGTCGTATAACTAGACGGTTTACACATCGAATGGACGTGAGTTCAGGCGATTCATCATTTCCGCAAGGAATTACTTTAGTTTACAATAAAGAGACTGCGTTATTGCTAAAACACCTACTTCAAAAAGACCCACGTATAATTATATGCGTACTCTTAGTCATAAAACTTAAGTGTCTGCGTGCTGACAGTACGTACTCCTTATAGCTCACGGATGCTGGCATGTTATTTAACTTTGTTTTTTCAATGTAAAACATCCAATGTTTTGACGTGCCAGTCAGTCATAAATTTAAGTTTGTGTTTATCGCGTATGTTTTCATAATCGAACTAAATTTTTCGTGTTATAAATTTGTGCATAGTGTACTTTATTCAAATGTCTTCTACAGTAATATTCGTCGGTTTGCCGGAGGGGTCAAAAAGCTCGGTAACAAAGTACGTATAGATTTGTGCACATATAACTTCAATTATTGTTTTCTGATAATATGTAAAAGCTTGTTTTATATGGTGTGTTTTCAATTCTTAATAATTAAATTCAGTAAATTAGCTAACTATCAATCGTAACTATGAATTGCAGTTTTCTTTTTAATGTAGTTTCTTGATCTGGCTGACAGATGTATATTTTATAAATTCATACAAATAGCTTGAGGTCAGTTTTTATAAATATATAAAAGAACTTATGCTAAGCTAACGAACTAGTTAGCTCATTAAATTTTAACTAAAATTCTATTAAAAAAATAAAACAAAAAAATATAAAAATTTTACTGCTTTTTTTATTGCTCTGAATAAATTAAAAAAAACTTTTGAAAAGCATTAAAGGATTATTTTTATTTAAAAACTTAATCTTACACCAGAAGAAAGTAAGGTTTTAAATAGGTGTTTTATAAAATTGCTTACTTTTTTAAAATATCTTAAAAAGTTGAAAAATATTTGATTAATTAACTAATAGTGAAGTTGTTTAGAAACTAGTCGGTTGTAACATGTTACAACCATAAAGCTTTGCAGTACTTTTTAATATAATCGTAAAACAATAATTTAAACGTAAAGCCATTACTTTGATTTGTGTTGTTATTTACGGGAGCGTGGCTCATTCAAGTTTAAGGATTCCATTTTTACTTTTTCTTACTTGACACACATTCTACTACATTTCTTAAAAACAATTTACGAAACATTTTTCGACATAAAAAGTTTAATTATTATTGTTTATAGCAGCATTTTTGTTTAGTGCAGCATCAAATGTTTTTTTTATTTATGTCAGAAGGTGCAAGCGTTGATTACCCGTTACGGCGCATTCAGCTGTTTCGTATTGGTATTGTCTATCTTAAATCGTAATTACATAAATCAATTAAAATAGGTTGAAAAGTAACGAAACTATAGTCAAACCCATAGATTAACTATTCCATGTTATTAATGTTGATAGCCTAGAATAGTAGCAAGTTGCGGTAACCATCCCTAATACGCAGTTGTTTAATTGAAGATGTGGGTTGGACCAGATTTATTTTAGTTCGCATCCGTGGGCGGTGCTGCAGCAGTTGCGTTGACATTACCAATTAGGGTAAACAGCCGCCCAGTTGATTGCCGTGATTTAGTCAGTTTCTCGATAGTGTTAAGCTTTTGTTACCTCGATGTTCTCTGGAGCTCTAAATTGTTCCGGTAGAATTTATTAATGTAGGACAATACAATAGGTTTGAAAGTAACGAAAACAGTCAGCAAGTGTTTTATCGCACCCGACGAGAGGACATCACTTCATAGTATAAAACAAAGTCGTTACGCTGTCTGTCTCTCCCTATGTATGCTTAGATCTTTAAAACTACGCAACGGGTCTTGCGGCTTTTTTCACTAGATAGTGATTCATGAGGAAGGTTTATATATAATACATTGCACCCGTGCGAAGCCGGGGCGGGTTCCTAGTACTAATAAATTAATGTTACACTTACCCGCGTTCCAGGGCGGTCTGCACCGTACACTTTAATTGCAGCTATATAAAAAGCGTCTAGATTTTAGTTAGCTTGCTGAGACAACAGTCTGAGACTTTCGCGGGGACTGTTGAAGTTTTACATAGTTCCTAAGCCCAAAGTTATATAAATGTAGTCGTTTTATCAATTTATACTAGGTATATTATAATATCACTGTTTATTGTTGTACATTCCTTTTAAAAGTATCTTAATGGGCATGTTAGATAATTTCCCTAGCCCCGGATAATTCCGCGACTGTATTGCAAAGATTTCAAAATATTATTTTTACCCTGACCATTTGGTCCGCCGTTTTGTCTGCCATATTGTGCACAATTTTGTATGACGAAACAGCAGTGGAACAATAGAATTGTATCCTTTTGCTTGTGCGTCGAAGTGAAAATCGTTGTGATTGCTTCGCATTTAAATTTCGAGTCTCGTTGCGTGCAAGTGAGTTGCGACGTTATTTTACAGACGATAGAGAATGAATTGTAAAATCAGGCAGATTTAGATGCGCCGCGTAATAGGATTGTCATCGCTACGACAGGGCAGGGACTAATGGTAACAGGATAGCTGGCGCTGGCTCGGGTTCCGGGAAGCCTTGCAGCTACCACGGTTGTGTGGGGTATGGTTTATGGCACAATGCAATTTGCAGTGTCCTGCATTCTAATTTGTATTGCAAAGTGTAATGATTCGTTGCAAAGTGGAATAAATTATGGCTAGGAAACCGTCTAAAAGACGTAGACTTTAGATGTCCATAAGTACATTTTTAGTAACAAAAAAAACAGACCTCAAATATCTCGCTCACTATACATTTTCTATTTGACATTGAGGAGATGCCTGATGTGTCGCCAAAGTCCAAGGTCCAATATCAATAAAATTAATATGTGCCTAAAACGAACTCAATGAAATGGAATTTTGGTAATCGGTGTTTACAAATGACGGATTTCTGAGTGGTACCAAAGATGGAAAAAATAACGTACAACCGAATTTAAAGCCTCCTTTTCTCAAGTCGATTGAAACTTGGCGACGGCTTGCTTATTGCTTCACTCACCTACCTTCCCTGTTGCGTTGAGCCTTGGCTTATGGGCACTGTTTATTAAGAGCGGTGCTTTCTTCCGGAGCCCTCACAAACATACGGCGAATGGTCATCGAGGCGCTTTTAGGTAGTGTCAAATCTTGACGGCGCGAAAATCTCGACAAGTATTTACTTTTAGGTTAGTTTTTATTTTTAGTGCTGGTTCCATGCTTACAAGATGAAAAAATTTGAATTTTTGTACATAAATGAACCAAAACTTTCAAAAGTAAGTAATAAGTGGTTTTCTTTCTCGAAATCTATTTTTATTATTGCACTTTTAGACATGGGAAATTTGAGGATATCTGCCGCTTAGGTCAATCACTTGGCTAGAACATAACGTCCAAAAATCGCAGGGTCTTCTGTTCGACTATTTTTCGGCAATTTATCTATTAACATTAGATTTAAATTACAACTTGAGTGTACATTAGCATAAAAAACAAAAGCAACACTTCTCGTTTTTTTAATATTATTTGAAATTGAAGCTGTACTGTAAATTTGCCGACTTCATTAATAAATTGTCAATAGATGGCATAATTATACATTCGTAATAAGAAATTTTGAAACAATTTTTTTTATGAAAACATTAATTTTATTCAATTTTCGTACCTGTTATAACCTTTTTTTTTCAATAATGACAAATATAAGCTCTAAAATGGGGTTTGAATCATTAACATTGATTAAGAAATGTGGAAGCAATGGCGTTCCGATATAAAAACACCATTGAGAAATTATATGTAGAGGTAACAGTAGAGCTATTCAAGTATTGAGGATATCGGCCACTCTATATCTATCTGGGCGTGATTCCCAGAAGTTGCAGATTCTAATCCTGGCGGCGCTGAAAAATATGTATTCAATTTTCAATTCCAGTTTTGCATTAAAAATGAAAGTGATTCCTAAAGTAGCTAAGTATAAGCTAAAAATTCCATCTTCACACGGGTGTAATGTATTATTATACATATAAACCTTCCTCTTGAATCATTCTACCTAGTAAAAAAAGCATCAAGATCCGTTGCGTCGTTTTAAAGGTCTAAGCACAGACAGACAACGGGAGAATTTTGTTTTATGCTATGTAGTATTACTTGCCGAAGCTTTTTCAATACCAAAAAGCGCTTCTACTAGGCCCTTTTTTGCGGAAGGTAGATTTCAATATACAATTATATGTAAATATTTTGTTTTGGGTAGGACATACCAACAATCATGTTATAATAAGAAGCAATATATATCTGATGCATTCGTTAACGTTGTATATCCGCGAGCAATTTTTCAACGCGGCAAATATGACGCATGACTATTGAATCCGTTTGAATATTAAGCTATGTTACCGCGGAATAAAGTAAGGAATCGCGTGCGCAGTGGACAGATGGCGACGTCTCAGCATGCGGCCCACCTACCAATTGATCGGGTAATGATGGAAGCTCTGGCGTCGGTCACGCACGAACCGCCACGCTGCCGCACAATGGCGGCTGGCGGCTCGATGTTCCCCCGCGGAAGCCGGCCGCTATTACATGCTCCGTTTAGCCTCCTCGCCTACCCTGTCGCCCTGGTACTACGCAGTTGATTGCGTATTGTTTTTGACATTTTGTCCTTCAGTTGTGTATGTTGGCAACACCGTTCAGGTATTCAATTTAAGAAAAGTTAATAATGATTTTTTTGTAATTGACAACATTCTACGTTCAGACCCCACGCCCACACTGTTGCACTAGTGGTGCTCATTGTTTTTAGAATGTACATTTCCAGAAGTTATTCCGTCAATATAAACAAACCCTGTGACCGGATATCAAGATTATATTGAAGTAATTGAAGGAAAGTAAATTTGAAAAGTTTCAAATGATATAGCTTCTATTCTTGTCTCTTCTCCTCTTCTTGCCCCTCTTAAACTCCTCATCCACTAACTATGATAGCCTAATACTAGAAAGCTGTTTGCAAATTTGTAAATGCCCTCTAGTAATTCCTAATGCATGTTCTTTTGCAAACGGATTTCAGCTATGATTGAATTTGATTGAAAGGAAAAATCGGAGGCAAAAGAAATATGTTTATATGATGGTCAGTGATAGTCGTCAACAGACAACAGGTGGTTGTGAGTTGGTCCGTACGTTTTGTTAAACTTATGACGATTTTAATTTATAATAATTATGTTAGATCTCAGTTTTAGAATGTCTTAGAGACCATGGCTATATAATGTAATTATTTATTATGTTTGGGCGAATATAAAATTTATCCATGTTTTAGAGGCCATTCGCCACTTATTGGACACTCCGTGCAAAGATTTTTATCGCGGTGTCTTTGCCCATTTAAAGGCACGGAGGAATTGTGCCTAGACCGCATCCACATAAATCAAATGTAGCTGTTTTGACGCGACTAGACACGACGTAGTTAACGACGAATAAGGCTTCGCGCCGTTCCTGCTCACAATGGGGACATCTCTGGCAGATCTTGGTTGTCTCATTAAACAATGATGATTTACCATTATTTTTATTGAATATGAAGCGAAATATTTTGAATTATTATAATGGGATATTATTAATTGCAATTGTGTGTTCGTCTGATAGTAAGTGATCGATGTTTGCTAAAGATTGCGCGCATCGGGGCTCTTTTTGTAATAAATTATATTATGCTTACTGACAAAACTTGTATGTTTGAAAATTTCTTAGATCGCTCGTTCATCGCTTGAACTCCCTCGTCTCCTGAACTCTCCATCTATAATAAACTTTAATTTCATGCTTAAGATATTATAACTTGATTCAAGATAAAATATCTTAAATACGCCCGGTTTTTGCCATCCTTTTGGCAAACTCAAATGACAATTGAAAAGCCATTAGACAGCTGATTAGTTAACTTCTACGATGATTTAGAATGGGCGGGCGTTATTCTTTTAACTGTACTGAAACCTTAAAGTTATTTTCTTTATAACATTAACGTCCTTTAAAAGGGTCGAAGAATATCGAACGTAAAAGGAGTGATTAAAACATGACACAAAGTGATTTTAAATCTGTGCCATACAAGTGACGGGAAAGCCAGGTGCTAATAACACTTTCTCGGAATGACATGTTTTAAAAGTGACACTTAGGGTTGGCAGATTGTTGCTAGATTGCCGCATTTTCCAGTTTTTGGCACGATTATGCGAAGTTCCTGCTGATCCTATCAGTGAACAGTCTTTAGATGTCCCCATAAATTATTTGAACACGTTTGCTTTTCGTAGGTATTCTTATACATTTTATTAGCTGACAATGCCTGGACGATTTTATAAGATATATTATGGGTAAAAAAATTGTATCTTCTTTTAAGATGATACAAATGAACAAGTTATTGGATAAGACAGACTATAGGGAAATGGTGTCTATTTTATTGTTTAAAACATTTGCTGACCATTAATGAAGTAATAGGCAAAGTACATCCTGTATAAATATATGTACGATGGCTTGATTTGTGCAGTTGATAATAGTCCCAGCGCTGATAAAACAGTCATACGGAAGCTAAATTTTTATGATAATTATAAATATATATATATATATATTTGAATTAAAATATATTAAATAATAAAACTTGAAAGTTTGGGATTTGAATTGGTCTGGTACGGTAATATTTGACCAAAATCTAACCAGACCAAAAATAAAAGGTCATTCGTTGCTCCTTGCTAAGCGCGAGTTTTTCTTTTTACCGTATAATTCTTTTAATTGCTTAATGATTATTAATTCTAATGAAACAATAATTTCTAATGACGGAAGGAATGAGAGAGAGAACATAAAATAAAACAGCTGTGCTTAATAAATTTAACTTTAAAATTAAACATTACTCACTCCTTTTTAATTAAAGAAACAATCTTCCAAAAAACTTCCTAATTAAAGAAACATTTCAATTTAAAATAACATGTACCCGTTGAACTTATTTCGAACCAATTATGAGGGTAAAAAATGTTAATAATTATGAAAAAGCTTGTGAAAAATTTATTCCATTTTATAAAACTGCTCCTGAAATATGTTGTCTACCAGCCTCGGATTTTCGGGTAGTGGGTTCGATTCGCGCATGGTACAGGTATTTGTGTTACAGTTAATTTGCCCGTATCTGGGCGTTCATAGGATATCTGGAAATGTAAAAGGTCCTTATTACAAAGGAAGCTGTAATTCTATATTAAGGACAATTTTTTTAAAAACTAAAAAAAAAAAGAAAATGTAGTCCAAACGCTTCGCCTCGTGCTGAATAGGGCTAGTCCGCCAGTTCAACGTTTACGGATTGCCGGAATTGATATACAAATAGACTTTCGGATAGCTGTATCTGAGTTGTGGCTTTTGCTTCTCGCATGAAAATGATCAGACAGTTTACGGTTGCACATTATTCTTAAACTCTCACTTACATCTTTAACTCCATTGTTGAGGGTCTCGAGACCTCTTTTGATAACCTTTTTGCGAACTTCATGCCCATTGACACATTTCTGGGTGGTATGGATAACGCGAATGGGTTGGGTGGTCTGGAATAATGGATAGGGCGATTCGAGATCCCACTGATGGTACTGAGTTAGCCATTCGTCGAAAAGCTTATAAATTTAATTTTGAAAATTTAAATTCGCAATACGAAAGCCGAATGTTATGTGTACAAATATTGCTAAAACAATAATTAACATTGCTTAAGTGTTTCCCGCCTACTCGTAACCAGTCTTTTTCTATTGTAATATAATAAATTTACCCTAGCGCATGGTATCAATAAAATATCTACTTTTAAATATTAATTGAACGGTCGAAAACAGTAATATGCTGCACTAAAACGCTTTTAAAATCAATAAAAATACACAGTCTAAACTAATTTATATCTCATCCAAACAATTTGTTCTTAGGGGTTATAAATAGAACTATAAACACGAGGCCTTCGTGTATGTGTACGCTTTAATTGACACTATCTGTCTTTTATAGCCATTGTATCGAAAACTTCCAATTAACAGATACGGTTGTTTGATGGGGCGGTTGACCATAGAACAATCAGCCCTTCTCTGTCCTTTTCCCATCTCACATTCACCATTGTTGTGAACTGATGCATTATCTGTGGGTACGGAATGTATTCTGTGACCAAGCTCTATGAAATTCAAGGAAGTTAAAGCAGTACTATGCATATACAGCGTGTCGTTACCATCGCGACAATAAATGAACACACATATAGGGGATAACTTTTTAAAGTTGTATTAAGCATTTAAATTCTTTAAACATCAATATTTACAGGGTTATTAAATTTTCCAAAACAAAGAATTTTAGAACACCCTTACCTATAGAAGAGTAACATAAAGTTCATTTGTAAATAAAAGTTGTTGAGTGAAAATAAAAGAGACAAAACATACTGTTAGAAGGAGAGGCTTGTACGCGAGTTGCATAGGATGTTACAAATTTTGTTTCTTTTTTACTTAATTAGTTTGTTTGAAAAATATTTTCTTTAATTATGGATTTTGTTTAACCTTAATATTTTTTATGATTATTGGCAAGTAGCGTTAGACGTGTGTTCATTTATTGTCGCGATGGTAACGACACGCTGTATATATCATATGATTTTATATTTTAGCTAACTGTATCAGGCCATCACGAACAAAGATGTTAAAAACTCAAGCCTTTTATAGGTCCAAAAAATTTTAAGCTTTGGTTGTTATTGCTCTCCATGGCGTGCGAACTCGGAGGAGTTCGTTGCAAAAGGGGCCGGAAGGTGCATAGAATGTCGCAACTTGCCTTCCCTGGAGGAGAGAGGAGTTGCTCTCGAAGGAGGGACTGCTACGGCAGCCATTGCTGGCAAGGTGGCAGTCGTAAAAAGTATAGTTGATGGAAGTCTCGCGCAATAAGTAACTTACGTCTTGGACGCTGGTGATTAATAAGCTTTTAATCGAGAATTGGGGTCGTGCTTTTGAAAAGACGGATTATATAATGCTTAGTGATGAATTTCAAATATCTAACGTTTGTACCAAAAGAGCTTAGTATGGATTATTTATTGAGTCGGGAGAGGAAGACCGCCGCTGAACATTCTTTATTAAAATTTAGATGTTTCGTGCAATAACAAGAAATCAGAGCTTATTGGTTCGGGTTTGAAATTTGCAAAATCTTACGAAAGAGTTCGGTCTACAACTCTATACCATAAAGCCCAATACAAAATCATTTCATTCAAGATTGTGTAGAATTCGCGTAAATACGATAAATTGAAATGATTATTCGATTGTACTTTATATTAATGTGGATCGTTATAAGCATAGGTGAATAAATCTGTTTCGACCAAGCGTTTATAAGAACGATGGTTTCGACGAAGTTCAGCCTAATTGTGTCCGAAACCGAAGCCACCGCCTAAAAATGCAAAATTGACCGAAACCGAAACATAAGCCACAACTTCGGTCGTTCTTTATTAATGACGTTAAATTATTTAAGATTGTTTTTCAGAGCTCTTGCGATCGATCGTAAAACTTATGTACTTTTAACGGCTTATAGACAAGTTTACGGATTAGATATTCTGTGCAACCTATAGTGTTCGCCAAGGGATTTGTTTCGGTTTAATGCAAAGCGGGGGTAATCGATTTTCCTAGTTCCTGTTTGCATC